CGATGCACAGGGGTTACTCCTGGCTCTGCGCTCAGGAATTACCCTTGGCGGTGCTCAGGGGACCATATGGGATGCTGGGAATTGAACCCGGTCGGCTGCATGCAAGGCAACCGCGCTACCCGCTGTGCTATTGCTCCAGCCCCTGTTTTGAATTTTTAAGCAGTGCCTGGGATTAAGTCCACGGCCTCACACTTGGAAGGCAAGTCCTTTACCACTGAGCTATATCCCAGGCCAATACATCAAGCTTTTGATTATGTGGTTTTTGTTTGTGGCCCACCTCAGCAGTACTCAGGGTAATCATGACTCAGTCTTCGGGGAACATCCCAAATGGTACTCGGGAGCATTTGGTGCCAGGGGCGGAACCCAGAGCTCCTGTATGCAAGATAGGTGTGCCAGCCCTGAGAGCTCTCCTTGGCCCTGTACAGTTTTAGTGGAATGTAGCTGTGCTCATTTGTTTGCCTATTGTCTGAGGCTGTTTTGTGCTATAGTGGCAGAGTTGAGTAGTTGGACAGAAAGCACAATAACTTGTTCCCTATTTTTTTCTTTTTTTTTTTTATTTTGGGGCCACACCCAGTGGTGCTCTGGGGACCATGTAGTGCCAAGGATTTACTGAGCCCTGGGTCTCATACGTGCAAGGCAAGTACTCATCAGATCCACATCCCTGGCCCCCTTCTTTATTGTTCTTTATATATAAAGGTTTGTGGATCTTTCACTAAAAGTTTTCTTAACTTGGTTTTTAAAGTCCTTTCTCAACTCTTTATATCCTGGGATAAGTTCCTTTGCTCTGGCCTTTCATAGGGACCCTGTAGTTCCTGTAATGTTTGTTTTTGCATGCTTTTTTTTAAAAGCTATCCTGTCACTTCATCTTACATGTTACTCAAGACTCAATTAGAAGTTTTTATTCTACACAACCCCTTTTTCATATGATTTCATTTTGTTGATCTTTCTTGACTTTGAACTAACACCTCAGGAATTTTTCAATCTATACAATATTTTTAGGCACTTGTGTTTATTTTGCTTTGTTCTTTAGACATTCCATTCTTACGTACACTGTAAGCTCCTAGCATGTAGGAACTTTGTCTTCTTTTTGTTTGAGTACTTAGAGGTGGCAATCCATTTTGGTGACTCATTCTGAAGCGTGGCCTGACACATAAAGAATTTTTAGAAAACTTTAAGGGAAAAAAAAAGTTGTTCACCTTTTCTGCTGAGGACATATATAACTTATAAAAGCAGTGTTTTTTTTTTATTTTTATCACATCCACCATTTAAGTTGTTATGCTTAGGTAAATATAATGTGAAATAATTTTTATTTCTGTGGACTCTAGCTTCTGTGTCCTCTTATTTCAGTGTTTTAGAATTTTTGTGAACAACAGGAGGCTGGGATCTTGTCAACAATAATGTCCATGAGTTGGAGTGATAGAACCGTGAGGTAGGATGCCTTATATGCGCCTGACCTGGATTCAATACTTGGCACCCTGTATGGTCCCCTGAGCACTGCTAGATGTCGCCCCCAAACAAAAACAGAACAAGTAAAAAAAATACACAAAAAAAGATAATGTCCATAAAAAAACAAAATATTTGCTTGTCCACTGAACTGTCCACTTCACAGTTTTAATTAAAAGGATAATTTAAGAAAACATTTGTTTGTGGCCTTGAATGTGACATTCTGTTTTATTTTCAAATTTTGTTTTTTCATTTTTGGGTCACGTCCAGCAGTGCACTGCAGCTACTTTGTGCTTGGGGGTCATTCCTGGGAACAATATAGTAATGGGGATCCTGCATGCAAAGCATGTGCTAAATCTGAGCTCTCTTTCTGACCCTAAATGTAAGGTAGGTAAGGTAAAGACCCTCCCGTTGATCGTCGATTTGCTCGAGCGGGCCCAGTAATGTCTCCATTGGAGACTTTGGTGTTACTGTGTCTGGCATATCGAATACTCTCGGTAGCTTGCCGGGCTCTCCGAGAGGGGCAGAGGAATCGAACTCGGGTCGCCCATGTTGGCTGCGTGCAAGGTAGACGCCCTACCCGCTGTGCTATCGCTCCAGCCCAACCAATGTGATGCTCTGAAATGAATATAACATTAAAAAAAAATGGATGTAGCATAAAGCAGCAAGAAATTGAGGAACAAAGTGAACTCACAATAGTGAGTGAAATATGCTTTGCATTAAAAACTAGCAGTGTTAAATATTACCCTTAGTTCACAGCCAGGTTATGATGGTCAGTTGCAAACACTGTTTTCTTAGTTCCTGTCTAATTTTCATCACAGAAGGTTGTTGTTGCGTTTGGTCGTCTTTTTTTTTTTATTATTATTTTGTATCTCTAAATGCTTTCTTGTAGTCTTGAATTTATTATTTCTTGGAAATATGATATTTAATGTGTGGGGGGAGTGCCCTAAATTCTATTTCAGCCATTGTTGTTTTCTTCAAGATTAGGTAATTGGGGTGAATGAAAGAAAGTTTTCAGGATTAATCATAATAGCATCCAGTCATTTTTTGAGTAGCATTATCTGTGTGGCAGTCTTCTGTAGGTGCTTTACATATATAGAGTTGTCTGAAGAACATTCAAAGACAGAGATAAGAACATTGGGGCGGGAAATTAAAGAGACTGTACAGCTGGTAGGACACTTGCCCTTGCAAACTGCCAACCCTATTTTCGATCCATGACACCCCATGTGGTCCCCCAGCCCCACCAGGGGTCACACAAAAACAAATGTGGCTGAGAAATGTGAATAAACTGCCCAGGTACACATAGCTTTTAAGTGTTTCAGCAGAATGAGAAACCCCTCTGCACCCTTTCCCTTTTTTTCCCTTCTGATTCACTGCTGTTTTCGACTGACCAACTCGGCAGGTCTAAAGGCTTTTGCAGGGAAGAGTAGTGAATAGGCTGACTACAGTGGTTGGTACCCAAAAGCATACTTAGCCTGTATCCCAAGTGCATGCATTTTTTTTTTCTCCTGAGGGGATGGGGTTGGGCCACACTCAGGGGTACTCAGGGACTATTTCTGGTTCTGTGTTCAGGAGTGACACCTGGCAGTGTTCTGGGGACCCCATAGGTGGTATTGGTTCTGGGGATTCCAAATGGGATTGGCTGCAAGCGAGGCACACATCTTAACCCCATGTGCTATCTCTCTCTGGCCCTTGTATTTATTCATTTATTCAAATGAGAGGTTTGAACAACACCCCATGGTGCTCTTGGCTCTGTGCTCAGGAATCATTCGTGGTGATGTTCAGAAGGTTGCCTGCAGTGCAGGGGATCAAACCGATGCCTCTTCATTTCTGGTTTTACAAATACTGAGCTCAGCTGGCAAGCATTTTATATCACTCTCTACATAATACTTTTTTTCTCCCACAATATCCCTGTTTCAAGCTAAACTCCTTGCATGATGTCCGTTAAGAGAGAGCGAGGGAGAGGGATAGAGGGAGGGGGAGAGAGAAAAATTAAAACCCAGCAGGAGCAGTATAGACCCTTATTTAGGAAGGAAAATGATATTTAAATGATTCATTCATAAATTGACATAGGAATCGCTTCGTGCTTTCCTTTAACCTTTAGTTTTAATTTGGCTTTAACCTTTAGTTTGAGGTTTAGCCGTGCCTTCCAGTGACGCTAATGACAGAGAAGCTGTAAATGGATTTGAGTTAAGTTTCTGCAAGAAGAGAGTATCTGGCACAAAAAAAAAAAAAAACATTTCTTAGATATAAGGGTAGAAAGAGCAAATTAAAGACGATTCTTTAATAACCAAATGTAATTAAAGTGCATTGTCAGGCTTAGTTTCAGCACCTTAGAGGCATTGATATTGCCTGTTTCTGAAATGGGATTGCTGGCTTAAAAAAAACACTCACATTCATGCACCCCAACCTCAATATATAGAAAATTCTTTTCTCCTTTTAATTGTGGTATTAGGATATAATTTACAGAATAAGATAGAAACATATCTCTTGAGGAAATTATAAACACACTTAGGAATTTGTCACTTACAGAGCTGCAGGCAGAAGGATTCTTTTTTCTTTAATCAAGTATCATTTAGAAAATGACAATAGGAAGTTATATAAACCAACCTTCCCACACCTCTTCTCTCCTCCCCCTGGAGTAGTTTAGTTGCTTAATTACAGTGATTCAAAAGAAGCAGTTTGGTTGGCCACTGGTGTTCTGTCTTCTCCTTTTTTGGATTCTGGCCATGTGGACAAAGTGGCAGCACGTAGCTATTTTGACATTCCTGTTGCACTATGGCTCCGCCTTCAGGGAGCCTGAGAGTGGAGATGAGGGCCCAGAGGTGATTATCTGGCTTGCCAGCTAGAGAATTCCCAGCAGAGATGGCGACCCAGGTGCAGAATGTAGGGAGCAAGGGGGTCGTGCCGCCCCATCTCACCAAAGTTCAGGCCTCCCACCGAGCCTTTCATTTCCCTTCCCATCCTGAACCTTCATGATGTAATAGAGGCTGGTGACATGTGGAAGGCCACAGCGAGCGATGTATTCCTTTGACTGCATCTGCATAGAAATTATAGAGAGGGTGGAACCATGGTTCTTTGGCCAACAAAAAGTGGAATCAGTCAAGAGAAAAAAAAAGATTAGACACTAGATTGAAAGTAGCAATGAATGGAATCCACTGTCTTCCTCTGACCTTGAAAAAGATAGATAACTTTTCTGCATGTCTCTTCTCTGGACCTGGGTGATAAGTGTTTCTTAGAACTGTTGTGTGCATGAGATAACCTAAGCGAAGTGTTCTGAACTCGTTAAAGAATTGCTAGAGAGGGACGGGAGCGATAGTACAGCGGGTCAGGCATTGGCCTTGCACTGTGTACTCCTCTGGGTTCCCTGAGCCCCACGGTAGGCGAACTGTGAGTGCAGAGCCAGGAGTAAGTGCTGAGCCCTGCCAGGTGTGGCCCACAGACAAAACAAAACAAACAAGAATGATGTCGGAGACGTAAAATGCAATAGTGTGATTTACAGCAAAGGCAGCAAGACGATATCTACACTTTCTTCCTTAATCTTCTGATCTTTCCAGATGCCGGTGGGTGTTTTGAGGGTCCTGTCTCCGCATTGGTGAGGCGTTTCATGCTTGGGGGCAGGGAGAGTACCCTCTGCCCTCTGAGACTCTGCTCATCAGAAAGGCACCCCGCTTCTAGTCGGGTGAGTGTGGCACCTGCCAAGCCGTGCTAGGGAGCGCCGGACCTGCAGGTTGAGGAGAGACCACCATGGACTGCCTGCTCCCTCACTACTTGCCCTCCTGCTGGTCCTGACCAGCTCCTCTGGTCACTGCCCATGAGAAGGCCAGTGAGGGAGCCAGACCAGTGCTTGCCGCCCAACTCCAGACGCGCAGGGGGCGAGGACCCCCGTAGGAGCCGTCCAGCAGCAGCAGGACCCCTGTAGCGGCACCCTCCAGGCTCTTCCCAGCCATGTCCTTCAGCGCCACCATCCTCTTCTCCCCGCCCAGCGGCAGCGAGGCCCGGTGCTGTTGCTGTGCTTGCAAGAGCGAGGCCAGCAGCGGGGGCAGCGCGGGCTCGCAGGGCGGGAACCCCCCGGGCGGCACCCCCATCACCGTCACAGGGCACGGCCTGGCCGTGCAGAGCTCCGAGCAGCTGCTGCACATCATCTACCAGCGCGTGGACAAGGCCGTGGGCCTGGCCGAGGCTGCTCTGGGTCTGGCCAAGGCCAACAACGAACTGTTGAAACGCCTCCAGGAGGAAGTGGGGGAGCTGAAGCAAGGGAAAGCGCCGGCCCCCGAGGAAGAGGGGGACGAGCGGGCCCACCACGGGTCCCCACTGGAGGAGCCCGGACCACTCAAGGAGAGCCCCGGGGCCCCCTGTAAGCCCGCATCCACGGTGGAAGAGGAGTGCGACAGTGTGGGCAGCGGCGTCCAGGTGGTCATCGAGGAGCTGCGGCAGCTGGGGGCAGCCTCGGCCGTGGGGCCGGGACCTCTGGGCTTCCCCGGTGCCCAGAGGGACCTGCGTCTCCCCGGGTGCCCGCTGGCCACTGGCGACGGCCCCCCACTGCTCAATTCCGTGAGTACCACGCTGCGCACCCAGAGCAGTGTCCAGCCGCCCCGTGCTGCTCCCCGCCTTCCTCCCTGTCTCCTCTCGCTTCCTTCCTCCCCTTCCCGGAAAGCTCTCCTCTGGTTGCATTTGCGAGAAATCAGAACAGCCCCAAGTGCCCTGTAGCCTCGGGCAGAGCCGGCACCCGGGTTTTCTGCCGGCGCTGTCAGCCCCTTTGGCAGGAGGGCCTCTCCGAGGTGTGCAGCCAGAGGCAGAGGGGGCCCTTCCCGCCCTCGCCCGCGCGCTGCACGGCACCTTCTCCTCCGCAGCTGCCTCCGTGCGCCATAGGCTCTGCCTCTCCTGGCGAGAGCGCCTGCTGTGCACAGACGGCTCATTCATATTTGATCACGGGCCCTCTGCTTGCCAAGAGGAACTCAGCACAGAGAGCTGGGGGTGTCGGGGAGACAGACAGCGGTGGGGGAGACAGGGAAGGGTGAGGTAAGAGGGAGCAGAGAAGGATGACAGAAGGCAGGTGGAGGGAGGGATGAAGGCCAGCAGGAATGAAGGGTCGAGGGAGGAGGAAAGGCCCGGGCGGAAGGTGACTCTCAATGGCAAGAGCGTTTATAAGGGAGGGAGAGCGAGAAGAGGAAGGAGAGTGGGAGGGATGGAGAGGAAAGGAGATGGAGGGAGGAAAGGGAATGGACAGGGGAGCCACAAGTAAGAGAGGGACATGGAGGCAGGAAGAGGGACTCAGCCTTAGTAGATTTTGCGAGCAGGAAAAGACTTGGAAATCCACTGTGTTATTTCGGCTCCTTACTGCTCAGGGCCATATGAGCAGGAATCTCCTGACTGCGTGAAAAACTGACGAAGGTTGCACATGGAATTATGGAAAGGAGATGGAGCAGTGAGAGAGATCATGGAGATAGGGAACTAACAGATGCACTGTCACTTGAGAGGCGGTGGGAGGTCTGTCGGCCTCCCTCTGTCCTCTCCATGCCAAGGCTAGACACCTAGTGAAGAGCAGAGGTGGCAGGGGTTACCCCCACCCCGGCCCTGCCCATCTGCTGGGCCTGAGAAATGAACGTGTGACCGCTCCAGGCCCCTGCAGCCAACCACTGAGTGGGTCATGTCACTGTCGGTTCCCCCAGACTGTGCAGACCAGGACGGGAAGGTCTAGGGTGGCAGAGGGGCAAGTGGGACGAAGGGAGGCAGCAGGGTGCCAGGGCATGGCAGTGCCCTGAGCTGTGGTTCTCTCAGGCAGGGAAGGCTTCCAAGCCGACAGGATGGAATTAGATTTCACAGTGCAGAAAGCAGCTCACAGGTCTATAAATCTCAGTCTCCTCCCCCGCTTCTGTGTGTGTGTATGTGTGTCTGTGTGTCCGTGTGTGTGTATATGTTTTTTTTCTTTCCTACTTTCACTGTTTTGTTTTCTTCGCTGCAGAACCCCACCCCCACCTTCCTTCTCTCTCTCTTCCTCCCAGCTTCCTTCCCCTGTTCTGTATGTCCTTGAGTGAGGGCACAGGCAGGCAAAGTGGATGTCAGAGCTGATGGTTCAGCATGGTGGGCTGGGATCAAGGTGAGAGGGTGCTCGGCTGGCCCACAGAGGGCAGGGGGCAGCGGTCAGTGCTGACCTCTCTAGAGATTTCCTGACTGGATCTCTCTCCTTAGTCCCCCATTTTTCTCCTGTTTGCACCTCCCCACTGTTGCTACCCTTGGATTTTGTTGTTCTTTCTCTTGCCCGGTTCTCCTTCTCATCACTTCCTCCCTCTAATCCTTTCAGACAAAACACTTACCTGGCTACATTTCTTATACCCGAGAGCAAACCGTAAACGACTCTTCATAAACAGAGCATCAGAAACAGGCCTTGTCCTTGTAATCACTCCCGAGGATAAGCTTCCGACACGAGGCACCCTGTACACACAAAATATTTACCACACTCCCTCAGGAGACTCAGGTTAAACAAGCCATTGGCCTTTAGAGATTGCGGTGGATCCCCCTTGCTTTCCGCTCTGCTTCCTGTCTTTAGCTGAAGAATGATGGTTGGCGTTCCCCTAAGCCTGGCTAGGCTAATGGGCTGTTCTCTTTTATATTCTCAGTTGGTGGATGATTATGTGGCCTCTGAGGGCACAGTGCAGCGGGTGCTGGTCCCTGCTTACGCCAAGCAGCTCTCACCAGCCACCCAGCTGGCCATCCAGCGGGCCACCTCAGAGACAGGGCCCGAAAACGGCAACAAGCTGGTGGTGCCCCGCCCCGAGGATATGCTCACTGCTGCTGCCGTGCTGGATGGTGCCTTGGAAGAGTCAGGCCCTGGGGCACCCGGGGACCTGAGACACTCTCTCGGGTTTGCCATGTCCCCCTGCAGGAACAGAGTGAGTGGGCAGAAGAACGCCAGGCGCAAGCGGGATCTCGTACTGTCTGTGAGTGAACCCAACTTCCATCCATTTCTTGAAAGGGGGGTATAGCGAGAGTACAGCAAGTTGGGTTTACCTTGCATGCAGCCAACTAGGGTTCTATGCTCTGCATCCATAGGGTCCCCTGAGCACTGCCAGGAGTAATTCCTGAGCACAGAGCCAGAAGTAACCCCTGAGCATCGCTGGCTGTGCCCCCACACCTCCCAGAAAGAGACTTATCATTGGTCTGGAGCGATAAGTGAAGAGTGGAGTGTGGGTTGATTTGAAATTTCTAGTGTTGAGTGAATAGAAATCTCTGAATCCTGCTGGAATGGGAGGGATGCAGAGTGGGTAACAGATTATTTCATAGACCTAGAAGGAGAAGGAAGGCACCTTGCTCTCAAGGGAACTGCTTCAAGACTTTTCCACATAGACTGGTATCTTCCTTTTAAAGAGAAGGAAATGAGACCCCATTCCTACCCCATTCCTCACTTGTCTGATAATCCTGACTGGAAGATCTTGGAAGGACTGAGCAGACTGACTACCTGGGGTGCTAAGGAAACAGTGAGTTTTTTAGCCAGTTTCCCAGGCACCCTTGGAAACAAAGTCAGGTTGTCCTGAGGCAGACCAAGCCCCAAAGATGCACTGAGACCCTCAACTCAGTTTCTAAGATTTGGAGGCATCAGTGATCCCAGAAGTTCTAGGCCAGAAAAGTATTGGCCTAAACCAGTTGTCAGAAACCTTCAAGTGGCTTGAAACTCTTGGGACATCACTGAACAACCTAAGCACAGAATCCCCCCAATCCCCACCAATCATTATCCTAAAATGTTCATAGTGTGAGAGATCCTGACTGAAGGGGTTCACAGTTCCTCAAATCAACTTGGTGCCTGGTAATGACTTTCTGATAATCATGGGGGTATATTTTATCCATACAATGTTGATATAAATGCTATAGGTTTCCATTCTCTAGATAACGGCTCACCTCAATTAAGTCACTTGAGGATTTAACCAACCTACATATCATCATGTTATATAGTGAATGAAGTCACTTGACAGTTTAATCACCTAAATATCATTGTACCACATTTTTTGGTGGTACGGTTTTGACTTTTGGGACACATCCCTGAGCACCTTTGGTTGCGTACTAAAACTAAAGCCTGGTGGTGCTCAGAGAACTATATGTGGTGCTGGGGATAGAACTGGGGTTGGCATCATGCAAGGCAAGAGGCTCCCCGCCCGTACTATCTCTCCAGCTTGCCAGTGTCTTTGTTACAGTCTAAGTAAAGATTTAAGTCAACTGTTTACCATATATATGTCCTTTTTATGGTGGTGGTGGTGGATGTTTGGGTCATACCTAGTGGTACTTAGGGGCTATTCTTGGCCTTGCACTCAAGGATCACTCCTGGCAGTACTTGGCAACCATATGACATACTAGGGATTGAAGTGGGATTGGGTACATGCACAACAAAGGCCTTAGCCCTTAATTCTCTGGTCCCACGTCTTTTATCTCTTATTTATTTGTGGGAGGCCACTTCCTGCAGTGCTGGGGGTTACTCCATCCCGCTTTATGCCCCCAGTGGTGCTCAGGGGACCATATGGTGCCGGGGATCGAACCTGGGCCTCCTGCACACCAAGCATGCGCTCAGCCTATTGAATTCTCTCTACAGCCTTATCCGTTCTTCATTTAATTTTATTCCTTTTTTGTTTTTCTGAGAGATCCTTCTCTGGTAGGTGAGCCAGCAGCCTTTACTGTCTTAACACTTATTATTGTCCTTTTTAAATAATGAGGGATTTTCATTGAGGGATTCTTTGTTTTCTTAGGAAGGAAAACCATTTGTAATCGGTGCCATCTTGTTTCTAACTTTCATTTCAGAGTTTGATTATGTTTGGGGACATCTCATTAAGAATAGAGGATAGTACCCAAGCATAAAAATTTGTAAATCTACAACTGTACCTCATGGTGTTTCACTAATAAAAATTTTAAAAAAATAGGGGATGGTTATCTCACAGTGATACAATTAAAAAGAAAAGAAAAGGGCATGGAAAAAGAATAGAGGATGGGTATGATTTTTTTTTTTGTCATGGATTTCTGCCTGTGATAGAAATGGAGACATATGGGGGCTGCAGAGATAGTACAGCAGATAAGGTGCTTCCCTGGTACATGACCATCCTGGGTTTGATCCCCAGCACCCTATATGGTTCCTTGAGCCCACCGGGAGTGATTCCTGAGTGCAGAGTCAGGAGTAAGCCCTGAGCATGGCCCAAAAACTAAAAAATTGAGACATATACCTAGAAATCCAGAGATTCTACAACATCATAGTGTTTAAATCATGGCTGCAGTGTAGCAAACATAATTTGCATAAAAATCAAGATTTTTCATCAGTTTCATTGCTCTCCTGCTTACTGATTTCAGTGAGAGTCACATGTGGAGACCAGGCTTCTTCCTAACCTTGGGAGAGGTAGTAGATCTGGCAGATAATTGTGCTGTCCGTGCTGAGAAAGGTTTAAAATGTTCATGTAACTGACGGTGGATTGAGAGGAAGAGGGAACATTGCAGATCTTCACTACCCAACCTTTAGCCCTGGGAAGGAATCCGAGAGGCCCTTCAGTCTGCTGAGGCCTCTGTGGATTACAGCTGGGATCCAGAAGGATCAAACCAAAACTCTTCATTTCTTGGAATGCTGCCGATTCTAGCTATCCATTGGGGAAGTTTAGTTATTTTTAGCTCACTCAGGAGGTAGGTGAGCCAGCAGCCTTTACAGTCTTAACACTTATTATTGTCCAGAGTATTTTCCCTGTCTACTTCAAGCCCAGTTTGATTTTTATCAGCAGATCTCTCCTGAGGCACTAGAATTGGAAGCTGTGCCTGTCTCCCCACTCACACCCCCCCCCCCCCACCTCCTATTAAATTTTCCCTGTAACTCAAAATTCTTTCTGGAACAATCACCTTTCTACTGTAATTCCTTTAGTTTGGACTTCTGAGAGGTAATATAGCAATTATAAAATATGAAGCTACAATAATAATGGTCCTTCTTATCGAGTGAAGACTCATCAGAAAAGCTCACTTTTCTGCGTTATATGGTTAGTCTCAGTCAGCCATTGTGGTCGGTGTAAATTTGAGTAAGGTCGGTTTGGGGATTTTTGAAGATGAAGTTGAAATACAAGTCTGAGTCCATCAATGTGAGGCTGGACAACTTCTGGTGATTGAGAAAACTTGAGCTGAAAATAAAGTCAGAAACAACAAATATAATCAGGAAAAATGTAAACTCCTAAATATAGGAATTTACATAAATATAATCTAAATATAATCAGGAAAAAAAGGTAAACTCCCATGTTAATGTTCAAGGAAGCGGTTGCCTAACAGTGCCCATAGTAATTCATGTGAAAAATGGATTTAAGTGGAATACGGGTTCACTTGTGTGTGAACGGTGTGGCATTGGGATTGGGACAGGACTGCTAAGAAGCATGACATCATCTTGGGTTCTACTCCCAGTTTTACTCCCAAGGGGGCATAATACTCCCTTTGGCCAACCCCAGCTGATGAGCAGGCCCACTGCAGGTGTCATTTTGTTTGAGGGACCCTGATAGACCAGACCTCCCTACAGTTCTGTGAGGAGCCTGGAACTCCCTGAGGGGTGCCTGAAGGACAGGTTGTTTAGATGGGAGAGTACTTAGGGGTGGACAAAAACTGCCTTCAAATATTTCAGGTATCAAATGGTCAAAATGGTGCTGGAAATTTTATGCAAGAAACCGTATCAGGCCATGATCCCCGACACTCAGGAACAGATCTCAGAACCTAGCAGGTTTTGGCAGAAATCCCTCCAGATTTAAGTGTTAAAATTTCGGAATTTCAAAATCGCGTGGCCACTACTGCAACCACGCAACATCATATGTTATTCTTAACAAGCAATAGAAAACAAATAGTCTACTGTTGCCTTTTCAGCAGATCTGAGTGTTGGGGTAAAATCCCAAATAATAATGGTGGGTCTGGGGTCAAAATATTGAATGTGATCAAAGTAGAGAGAGAGAGTAATGTGGAAATCATCTACCCCACAGGTAGGGGGAGGGTGTGGGATGAGGGTATACTGGGGTTGTTGGGGGTGGAGAATGGGCACTGGTGAAGGTACAGGTGTTTCATTGTATGACCGAGACTTAGACCTGAAAGCTTTGTAACTACTCTTACGTTGATTCAATAAATAAAATTATAAAAAATAAGAAAAAAAAAGTACGGTGGAGTTTATGCCCAATTCAATCAGCTAATCAGTGGCTGAATAAATAGCAGTACTCCTACATTAAAAAAAAAAAAAAAGGAAACCATACCAGTAACAGTCTTATAAAACACAGTGCTTAAAAATCAAACAAATGAGAAATCTAATTTATTTTTCTTTTTTCGTTTTTGGGCCACATTTGATGTGATGGTCAGGGCTCACTCCTGGCTCTATGCTCAGGGATCACTCCTGGTGGGACTTGGGGGACCACTTGGGGTGCTGAGGATTGAACCCAGGTTGGCTTATGCAAGGCAAGCACCCTTCCTGTTGTACTATCTCTCTGGTCCTGTTGACAGAAGCTTTTATTGGGAGCAGGGCAGGTGGGTATGGGCCACACCTGGCGGTTCTCGGGGCTTACTTCTGGCTCTTTGCTCAGGGGTCACTCCTGGCAGTGCTTGGAGGGGTCATACATGGTGCCAGGATTCTAATTAAGGTCAGCAAGTTGCTTTAACCTCTGTACTTACTATCTCTCTAGCCTCAGGAACTTTTAGAACAATTGGGGTGGTTTAGCAGTAGAAAAAGCAGATGCAAAAACTAGTGAGAAGCCAGAGATGGGGCTCAGTGGTAAATGACATGCTTTGAATGTATGTGTATGGTCATGGGTTGAATCCCCAGAATCAAAAAACAAACATAGGGGCTGGAGCGATAGTACAGCAGGTAGGGCGTTTGCCTTGCACGCGGCCGACCCGGGTTCGATTCCCAGCATCCCATATGGTCCCCTGAGCACCGCCAGGAGTAATTCCTGCATGCAAAGCCAGGAGTAACCCCTGTGCATCACTGGGTGTGACCCAAAAAGCAAAACAAACAAACCAACATAAACCTTGTGAGAATCATTGTTAAAGGGCTGTCAGCAAGGTTGACAGACAATCTGTTAGACCACGTGAACGGGAGGGAGGACCATAGACTCCGAGATGCTTTTTACTTCATATTTTTGTTTTAGGGGTATGTTTTTCAGACCCCTAGAGGTGTAAGTACCCTTGAGATTTGTGGTAATGTGAAAGGAATACACACACACATAAACACACACACACACACACACGTATGTATGTCATCAATGTCATGAGAAAATTTTGGAGGACATTTTTATATTAAAAGAAATATAGGGGATGTAGCTCAGTGACAGAGGCCCAGGGTTTGATCCCTGGCACTAAAAAAAAGGAAGAAAAGTAGCTATATTATAAAGAAAATGTTAAGACCTTCACTAAATGTCCCCTTGCAAAAGCCCTGGCATGTACCTGTTTTACTGTTAGACACACACTTGCGTTTAGGAATATGTTTTGAGACTCTCTTCACTGGTGATCATAATCTCCAGAAGCATAAGTAAAAGCGAGAATGATTCTGGAAACTTGATGTGACGTGATTAACGGGAAGACCCCCTTAGAAACATTGGCTTGGCTCATCTCTCTAGCCGAGAAAGGTGATTGATAGAAATGGTGCTAGGTGCTTGGGGCACAGTTCAGGCAATTCTGTCAGGCCTAGGCAGGTTCCCTCTTACCCACTCCTGGCTTGATTCTGTGTTTGTTTTTTCCCCCCTAGAAATTGGTCCACAATGTGCATAACCACATCACCAATGACAAGCGATTCAATGGGTCTGAAAGGTATGGCCGGATCCCGAGGGACCTTACCTAAGAGAAGGAAGCAGAGGGGGCTGTCAAGACACTGATCTCAGGCCGCCCCTTGTGTCTTCTCGTAGGCCATGGAGGAATCCCTGCCGAGACGATTAGTGCTGGGAATCTGTTTGGCCCCTCTTAAAAAGTTGACCGCCTTTATTCACTTTTTTATCTTTGCGGCAGCATCAAGTCCTCTTGGAATATTTCAGTAGTGAAGTTCCTTCTGGAGAAGCTCAAGCAGGAGCTGGTGACCAGTCCCCACAATTACACTGATAAGGAGCTGAAAGGTGAGAAAAACCAAGCCAGCTCCCATCACAGCCTTTCTCCGCTCCCTGCTCTTGGCCACAGGGGAGGAATAATCTAGATGATTTAGGTGGTTTTGAAAATAGTGCACTTAAAAAAAAATCTTTTGGCTGTTTTCACCTACTGTAGTCACAGGGATTATCAGGATTATCTCTAATTGGCTTTTATTTCCCTACTCGGATCCAAAATGGAAATGGGAGGGGGAAAGGCTAGGATAGGAACGTGTGACGTTTCTTCAGAGCCTGCATCTAGGGTATTCTGAAAAGAAGGTCAGAATACTAATACAGGCTGCTGTTTTGTGCCAAAATATTGCATCCTACATTTCTACTGTCTTTTCCCTGCTGCTATATGTCTGTAAGCAAACTCTGAAGCATTGATAGTTTCTGCTGGGCCAGAAATGTTGCTCAGTGGTAGAATACTTGCCTTGCAAGTCTGAGGCTCTGGATCTGAGCCTTGCACCACAAAGAAGGAAGGGAGGGAGGGAGGGAGGGAGGGAGGGAGGAAGGAAGGAAAGAAGGAAGGAAGGAAGGAAGGAAGGAAGGAAGGAAGGAAGGAAGATAGATAAGAAGGAAGGAAGGAAAACTTCTGATAAAAAAATACTTGTAATTCAGTATTAACAGAGTAGAAAGGGGTAGGATTAACTGGGAGGGGAGCAGTTACAGAAGCAATTGAACTTGACCTTTTTCTAATGGGATATGGAAGAAAGAGAGTTGGAGCCAGGTGAACAAAGAGAGCCAGGCCAAAGGGAAATGAATAGCTGTTGGTGGGTAATGGGTACCCAGAAAGCCTGTCATCTAAATAGTGGTTCTTACTGTCCCACCCAGGAGCCTGTGTAGCCTATTTCCTTACCAAGAGGCGTGAGTACCGCAACTCCCTGAACCCCTTTAAAGGTCTAAAGGAAAAAGAGGAGAAGAAACTTCGAAGTCGCAGATACCGGGTAGGTTTCTAGTCTTTCCTTTCTCAGTGCTGAACTCTAAATCTCAGGGCCAGAGTCAGCTGCCTGGTTTAAAATACTTGTCTGAGAAGTATAGGCCTGGAATTTGGTTTTGGATTTTTTTTGGGGGGGGGTGGGGAAGGATGGGAGTGGAACCCTCCGAAGCCGAAGCCGTGCTCAGGGGACCAGTGGGGTCCTGTAAACAATGCTTGGCTGGGGCTGGAGTGACAGCACAGAGGGTAGGGCGTTTGCCTTGCATGCGGCTGACCTAGGTTCGATTCCCAGCATCCCATGTTGTCCTCTGAGCACCGCCAGGTGTAATTCCTGAGTGCAGAAACAGGCGTAACCCCTGTGCATCGCCAGGTGTGACACAAAAAGCAAAAAAACAAAACAAAACAAAACAATATAACAACCAATTCTCGGCCAACCAGGCGGGCAGTTTTATGCATGAGCCAGAGGATGTGGTGCTGCTTGCTTGGGCCCAGCAATGTTGGGTCTGCAAACAGGTGCCAAGACCTGTACTATCTCTCTGTCCTCTGGGGTTTAATCTTTTTTTTTTTTAAACTTTTTGGACCACACTCGGTGATGCTTAGAGATTATTCCTGACCCTGCACTCAGGAATCACTCCTGTTGGTGCTCAGCACACCATGGGATTCTGCGGGTTAAACCGGGTCCGCCGTGTGCGAGGCAAGTACCCTACTGGCTGTGCTGTCACTCCGGCCTCGGTTTATTTTTTTAAATAACTTTTCTTTTTATAATTGAATTCTTGTTTTGGGGACCACAGTGTGTAGTGCTCCAGAGTTACTCTTAGCTCAGTGCTGAGAGTTGCTTCCAAGAGTGCTTGGGGGACTAATAGAGTGCCGGGAGGTTGAACCCAAACCTTTAGTGTGCAAAGCTCATGCTTAGCCCCCTGATCCCTCTCCCTGAAGGTGTTGAAATTTGAACCCTTGTGGTGCACTCGGTGATCTTGACAGTCCTATGGCATAGGATTCTGACATGAAAGGGTTGGAAGATGACCGAGTTAGGCGGAGAGGACAGACTTATAGTAGAGTGGGTACTAGGGCACTTGCAGTGCACACAGTTCGATCCCCAGTACCCCGTATGGTCTCCTGAGTACTGCCGGGAATGATCCCTGAGTACGGAGCCAGGAGTAAGTCCTAAGTACCTCTGGGGTGGCCCAGAACAAACGAAAAAGTTCCTCGGAGGGGTCAGGGAGATAGCTCAGAGGGTGGTGCTCATGCTTTGCATACAGGAGCCCCAGTGAGATCCCTGGCACTTTATGAACACCACCAGGTGTGGTCCGGAAACAAAAACAATAGACAAAAAAAGACAGGGGCCAGAGAGATAGTACAATGGGTAGCCTTTGCCTTGCACAAACCAAATCCAGGTTCTGTCCTCAGCACTACATATCATCCCTGAGCCCTACCAAAAGTGATTCCTAAGCACCTCTGGGTATGACCCCAAAACAAACAAACAAAAAAGGCTGAGGGTCAGTCAGAGCTGTGAGCTCAGTCTCTTATGCCACCATGTGCTCCAAGGTGGTCCCCATAACCCTACTCTCTGGGGTCCTCTAGGAAGGATAAGGACAATCCACACTCTTAGCCCTGAGAACCCATAGTAGCAGGGCCAAAGCACACGCCATCTGAAAATAAGGTTACAAGCCAGGAACATGGCAGGGAAGAGGGAGGGGCAAGAGGTGGGTGAGCAGGTTTCAGGACTTGGAGTCTGGGCTCTCTCAGCACAGACTTTACACAGCTTTCCTCCCACCCAAGCCCTTTCCTCAAACCTAACCCCTGGATTGTTTCTTGTCCCAATCGCTCTCCTGGTTTCCTATCTAAGCTCTTTGCCAACCGGTCCAGTATCATGAGGCATTTCGGACCCGAGGACCAGCGCCTGTGGAAGGACGTGACAGAAGAGCTGATGTCGGATGAGGAGGACAGTCTGAATGAGCCAGGGGTGTGGGTGGCACGGCCGCCCCGCTTCCGGGCCCAGCGCCTAACAGAGCTCTGCTACCACCTGGACGCCAACTCCAAGCACGGCACAAAGGCCAACCGTGTGTACGGGCCTCCCTCAGACCGACTGCCTTCGGCTGAGGCCCAGCTTCTCCCACCGGAACTCTACAATCCTAATTTCCAAGAAGAGGAAGATGAGGGAGGGGAAGAGAATGTACCTGTCTCCCCATCTTTTGACTCACCCCACAAAACCTGCTGTCCTGACTTGAACTCCTTCATTGAAATCAAGGTGGAGAAGGACGAATGAGACCCGTGGCCCCGCAGGCCTCGGCAGTGGAGCGCTTTCCTGGCCTGGCAGGGTGGCTGCTGTGGTCTGAGAAGGGAGCTCTGTCTCTCCGCACACTGTCCCTGTGCAGGTGGGAGCTGGCAGCGCTGGTGGGATGAAAGGGGGACTTAATCAAAAAAGAATAATAAAGAAAATAAAGGACTTATCTAGAAGAGAGAAAATTCCCCCTGCTATGAATGACAAACCAGAAAATGCTTATTCTTAAGAATAAACTGCCTCAGAGGAACCTGACATGAGAAAAGGAGGAAGATGAGTCTAAGAAACAGGAGGCCTTTTAAACACATGCTCTGGGCTCTCTGAATTTGCCTTTTTCCCCAGTTTCGTAAAAAGCTCTAGGGAAGCAGCCTTGGTTACCTTCTGCTTGCCCGTGACTGGGTCTTGTTCTGCAGTGGCAGCCGCTGAGGCGCAGCCCAGGATAACACTGCCACCTGGCGGGCAGTTTGGTGACGGGCTCAGTTTTTCTGGGCAGAAAGCAGGTTCTATCCCTATATGGGAATGGGGAGGGTCTAGAAAAATAATCGCTATTGTTTATTGAATTATATAAGTCAGATTTTATTGTTTCTGTATTACACATGAAGGAAATTAAGGGATAAAGAGTTCCCACATCTCACCTGGAATGGCCCTCCTACCATGTGACCATATTATATGCAGAGCTTTGCAGTTCTAAGTTCTGCTAACCAAACTGTACTGTGAGGCGGAAGAGCTTTGTATACTCATGCACGCACTCACGCACACCATATATTGGATTGATAAGTGAAACTGACTTACTATTTCATTCCTAAAACAAATACTAATTGCTTGCTAGATATCAGAGTCATCATAGCTAGGTGCAATGGATATCGATCAGTTCTAATCAGTTCTACTATGAGAAGAGGTGTTATTGTTGAATCAAGAAGCCAGGCAGTGGGGCTGGAGCGATAGCACAGCAGGTAGGGCGTTTGCCTTGCACGCGGCCGACCCGGGTTGGTCCCCCAAGCAGTGCCAGGAGTGATTCCTGAGTGCAGAGCCAGGAGTAACCCCTGAGCAATGCCGGGTGTGACCCAAAAAGCAAAAAAAAAGAAGAAGAAGAAGAAGAAGAAGAAGCCAGGCAGTGAAGTAGGCAATGAAATGACTTGTGGTTGGGGTGATAGTGAGTGTAGCTGGGGCACCCCTGCTTACTGTGCGAGCTCCAGCAGGGATTACTACCCTACCCTGGTGGTCTGGAAAGGTTCCTTGGAGAGAACAGTGTTGAAAATGATGCCTGAAAAACCAAAGGGCCAGAAAGAGTACAGGGGCTAGAGTGCTTGTCTTGTATGAGGCTGATTATGGTTTAATTCCCAACACTGCATTTTGACCCCCAACCACCAGGAGTGATCCCCGAGTGCAGAATCAGTAGTAAGGCCTGAGCACCACTGGTTGTGGCCCCCAAACAAAAAGAAATTGATACCTGACAGGTGGGGAAGGGTTAACAAATAAGTAGGAAAGGGAGGTCAGGAGAGTGTTCCATACATGGGCAACAGCAAGTATAAAAGTATATCTATAAGTTCAGAGTGATAGTACAGCGGGTAGGGCACTTCTTTTGCACATGACCGACCTGGGTTCAATCCTCAGTACCCCATATGGTTCCCCGAGCAAACTAGGAGTGATCCCTGAGTGCAGAGTCAGGAGTAAGCCCCGAGTATCGCCAGGTGTGGCACACCTCCCCACCCAAAAACCCCCAGAGTTGAGTGAGAACACAATGCACAATTGTACTGCAAAGCATTTTAGGGGAAGGGATGAGACTATAGAGGTGGAGAAATGTTATGTAGAGAATAAACTTTATTTCAAGGGCAGCAAAAAGGTTTTATTATTATTCTGTTTTGCGGTGCTGGGATCAAGCCCAGGACCTTGACTGTGAGTCATTTGCTCTTCTGCTGAGCACACCACCTACTGAAAGGCTTGAGACAAGGAAACAAGATGATGTTTTGTGTTTTTTGAAGAATTGCTTGCCCTCTGAATAAGATACATTGGAGTAGAAAGATCTTGTAGTGTCTCAGGAGAGAGAAGATGGGGGCCTGCTATTCTTAGAGACCATGAGGAGAGCCAGGCCTGAGAGCTGTTCAGGGAGAGTGGAGAGGGCCGGGTTGGATTTGAGGTTAAGGAAGGAGGATGGCTGACGTGCAGGTATCCAGTGTAGGCAGCCCAGTGGGGTCACTGACTCGGCATGATGGAAGTCCGAGCAGGGTGTTTTACATGTGAGTGCTTCAGACAACCAAGCAGAGATGATAGTAATCAACTGAACTTCATTAATTTCCCCCCCACACACTTTATTTAACCTTGGTTTACCAAGTTGTTCATGATGAGTTGTTACAGGCATTCAGTTCCACCACCATCGTCACCTTCCCTCCATCAGTCTCCATTTTCCCAACCACCCCTTAAGCCTATCAGCTGAATTTTAAATCTAAGGGGTCTAAAGGGACAGAGATTTGGGTTTAGGAGTCAACCATGTCACAGAAAAAGGATTGATGTGGGGTGTGGGCACCCCAGCTCAGTCTGCAATGCTGTGAGCATTCCTCACACCAGATGTGGCCTCAAACACTGGTTACTCCAAATGAGCCAATCTATGACTTGATCAGGGCCCTCGTCAGCGACCTCAACTAAAAGAGGGTTAAAAAGATTTAACCCTCTTGGGATCAGAGCCATGGCACTGCAGATAGGGCACTTGATATGCATGCAGCCAACCGGGATCTGGTCCTGGCAATGAAATGAAATGGCAGTCATGAGAGTGTTCCATACATGGGCAACAGCAAGTGTGCCCCCTCCCCACAAAAAAATTAACTCTTTCCACCTCACTGCGGATGAGTAAAGCTACTACACATTAGAAGCTGTGTGGCTATCTGGAGTGTAAGTAATTAGGAGGAAGAAGCCAGCCAGGTTCTCCATCTGGAGATGAGAAAGGAAGAAGAGTCTTTTTTTTTTTTTAATCCTCGTGTTTGAGCCACACCCTGTGATGCTCATGGGTTACTCCTGGCTCTACATTCAGGAATTACTCCTAGTGGTAGTTGGGGGACCGTATGGGATGCTGAAGATCAAACCCTGGATGACAGCTTATAAGGCAAGTGCCTTAACCCCTGTGCAATCACTCCAGCCCCAGAGAAGAGTCTATGGCTAGTTCGAAGATGTTTCCAGCAGATTCTGGATGCAACCTGATCGCTTTCCTCCCTGACTAATGCTTGCAGACCTCCCTGCTTCCCGTCTGATAGAAGCCTTAGGCCTGAAGGGGGAAACAGAGAAGCTGATCCTCAGGAGAGATGAGGTCAGGGAGACAATGCAGGGAGGACAAAGAAGCCAAGTAGTTTGTGCCAAATTAATTTCCCCAAAGATATTAACCTTCCTTCCTTCCCTATCCCCTAAGGCTACCGTGAGATGATAAAAGGTGCTCAAAATGTTGAGAAGAAAGTAATAGGCATGGCTTGGTTGCATATAATTTTCATACTCATTTACTATAAGTACAAAGGAGTCATTTTCTTTCTGTTTCCTGCTTCCTCGGCCACTTGCCCCTCATGGTGCTAGTCTGAGTGAGCATCAGTTGGATGTTATTTAATAAGCTTGTTCAGCTTCACTTTCTTTTCCTTCTTCTTGCTTGATCCTTCCAGTATGGCCAATACCGGTCTCTTTTCCTTTTCTACTCTGATCATTTGCACTTGCTATCTTCTCTAAAGGTCATTTCTCTTCTCCCCCCCACCCCAAGTTGTTAATTCGTATCACTCATCTCTAAGGGGGAGTTAGCTCCTTAGCGCTAAAACTAGGCCTTCTGTCCTGAAATCCTGGTCACCTGAAATACTGGCTAAAAATCTCCTTTCCCAACACCAGGGGGTACCTGTCCATCCCTCCAACGGTCCTTCCCTGACCGTGGATCTCAATCCCAAACCTTTCCCTCCCTTCCCATCACAGCGCTTGGACTTCAGAAAGTGGCCTCGTCCTGCTGCTGCAGCTTCTGTCCCTCCTTCTCTCTTGGGTTTGCACACATTCGCCTTTTCCACTTCTGTCGTCTTCCAGGACCGCGCCACCCACCTTCCCTACTCCGCTCACCCTTGCGCTACCTGTTCGCCCCCCCTTCCCCCAGCTCCCCAAACCGCCTCGCCCCTCGGGCCTCTTTACGGGCACACTTCTCACCCTCTCCCGTCTCTCCCTGCCAGCCTCGCCCATTCCTACTATCAGACACTCGGCATCTCGGCCGCAGTCCCCACACTGGGAACAAAGTCACGGTGTTTGCGCAGGACCTGAGGCAACTGCACGGCATTCCAGCGTGCCCCTCCGCGCATTCCAGCTGCAGACAAAGAGTCCCGGCCCCCCCTCCCCCCCGTCTCCCGTCCCAGTTCTCCACTGCTAGGGTTGCAGCGGCCCAAAGTGTCCGCCTCGCCTTCCTCTGGCCTCCAGTGCGCGGGTCCCCCAACTCCAGGACGGGGAGTCCCGCGGGCACCCCGCCGCCGCACCGGATCCCTGCGCAGCCCCCCCCCCCCCCCGCTCCGCCCCGCGCTCGGCGCTCCGCCCCTCTGGGAAAGTAGATCCGGCCGGGCAGACAAAAGTTTGGGAGAGAAGTTGGGTCGCGGCTGAGTGCGGGGCGAGGGGGCGGGGGCCGCGAGCGGGACGAGCGGGCGGCCGGGCGCGTGGACGCGGACCTGCGGGCCCGACAGCCGTGGCCGTGGGCCTTCCCAGCCCCGCGGGGCCCCTGGTGCGCAGGGGGACGCAGCCTTTGCCGCCGGGGGATGCTGTGGGATTCCTGGCGCCGGGCATCCGGGCTGCCCTCTAACCCCCTGTGCCCACCCAGTGCCCCTGGGGACCCGGGAGCCGGGCGGCCGGGAGCGGGACGCGAGCGCCGGGCGGGGAGGGCGCTGCGGGCCCCTGGCGCGCGGGCATGGAGCGTTTGGGGGAGAAAGCCAGCCGCCTGTTTGAGAAGTTAAGGCTCTCGGACTCCGGCAGCGCCAAGTTCGGCCGCAGGAAGGGTGAATCGAGCCGATCTGGGTCTGACGGGACCCCCGGGCCGGGCAAGGGGCGCCTCGGTGGGTTGGGGGCACCTAGGAAATCGGGGCCCCGTGGAGCCGCCGGGGGAGCCGGGGATGAGCCGCTGGAGCCAGCCCGCGAGCAAGGCCCCCTGGACGCGGAGCGGAACCCGCGCGGCTCCTTCGAGGCGCCGCGCTACGAAGGCTCCTTCCCCGGGGGGCCGCCTCCCACCCGGGCCCTGCCGCTACCTCAGTCACTGCCCCCCGACTTTCGGCTGGAGACCTCGGCCCCCGCCTTGAGCCCCCGCTCCAGTTTTGCCAGCAGCTCGGCCAGCGACGCGAGCAAGCCGTCCAGCCCGCGGGGCAGCCTGCTGCTGGACGGGGCGGGGGCCGGGGGCGCGGGAGGCAGCCGGCCCTGCAGCAATCGGACCAGCGGCATCAGCATGGGCTACGACCAGCGCCACGGCAGCCCCCTGCCCGCCGGCCCGTGCCTGTTCGGCCCGCCGCTGGCGGGGGCTCCGGCCGGCTATTCCCCTGGAGGGGTGCCGTCCGCCTACCCCGAGCTGCACGCGGCCCTGGACAGACTCTGCGCGCATCGGCCCGCGGGCTTCGGCTGCCAGGAGAGCCGCCACTCGTACCCGCCCGCCCTGGGCAGCCCCGGCGCGCTGGCCGGGGCGGGAGTGGGAGCGGCAGGGCCCTTGGAGAGACGAGGGGCGCAACCCGGGCGACACTCGGTGACCGGCTACGGGGACTGCGCCGCGGGCGCCCGCTACCAGGACGAGCTGTCGGCGTTGCTGCGCCTGACGGCGGCCACGGGGGCACGAGAAGCCGGCGCCCGCGGGGAGCTGTCCGGGATCGAGCCGTCGGGTCTGGAGGAGCCGCCGGGGGCGTTCGTGCCCGAGGCCAGCCGGGTGCGGATGCGGGAGCCGGAGGCCAGAGAGGACTATTTCGGTGAGTGAGACGGGTGGGCAGGACCGCCGCGGTCCGCGTCCGCCCGGGCCCCGACGGCCCGAAGCACCGGCGCTCGGAGGTGCGCGGCGGAGACGCGGGGGGCGCTGGAAAGGGGGCAAGGGGGGCTTTCCTGTTGCCCGGGGCGTCCGGGGGACCGAGGGCGCCTCTTTCCGGTGATCTGGAACCCCCCACAGCCCCGGGAATCCCCGCGACCCAAGCCCCAGAGCCTCGGCTCTCCGCCGCGAGGAGCCTTCTTAGGGAGGGGCCCAAGCGGGGCCGTGAGAGCATCCCCCCGACCGCCCCCCCCTCCCGTGGCGGCGGTGCCCCTGCAGGCTCGTGCGCGCCGCGCCCCCACCGGGGCCCAGGCTCCGCCCGCAGGAATTCGGGGAATGCGCGGGTGGGGGGGCGGCGGGCGCGCCGCGTGCGTGCCGGCTCCTGCCCGGGCGCTCCAGGTGCCCGCGGGCGGGGCCGCAGCGCGGCGCAGGGCGGAGGGGGGCTCGGGGGTGGGGTGCGGAGGCGCTTCCTAACACGCGCGGGGCGGCGGCCACGGCCTGGAAAACCGGGGGGAGGGGGCGTTGAAGCGCCCAAGGACGAGAGGCAGGGACCCCCATCGCCCATGTCAGAAGCCCGGGAGTGCCCGCCCCTGGCACCGCATCCTCGGGAGGTCGGGTCAGAAGCCACTGACCACTGACCGCTGGGGCGCCATCCCCTTACTCGCCCCCCACCCCCTGCAATGGATAGCGACTGTGTAGCTGTGAGAAATGACATTCATTTGGCGCGGGTCACCTGCACCGAACTCCGCCCAGGAGTAGCCCCTTCTGCTCGGCGCCTGCCCAGGAGACCTGGTCGTAGTAAACCCCACGTGCTTGGTTTTAAGACGCTCTCGTGGGAGGGCTCGGGTGCAGGGAATGGGGGCTTGTATCACATTTGAGCCGAGACACCCCACAGCCCCCTTAGCTAGGAAAAGATTTCTGTGACTGAGATAGAGAGGGAAGAGAAGTGGGGGTGCTCAGCCCCAGCCTCACCTGGGGGCCTCTTCAGTTTTCCAAGCCCCTCCTTCACACCTCTCTCCCCAGTTCCTGTCCTGACACACACACACACACCCCACCCCCCCAGACCTCTGCAGCTGGAAATGTGAGTGGGAAGAGGGAGCAAGGCTCTGGGGGAAGTGCCTGTGGTGGAGGCGGGCTGGAAGGGCTTTGGGGGTCCTCTCCAGCTCCCCCTGCCCCAGCGAGGAAAGCCTAGAGCAGGTGACACTTGGGTCAAGGGAGACCCAGTGCCAGGGCCCTTTTTAGCAGCTTCCTCTGGAGGCCCAGGAGAAGTGGTTGTTTGTCTTTTATCTAAACCCCCAGAGCCAAAAGGAAGGCGCTTAGGGGGGTGCAATAAAATGGCAGGAAGCGCCTAGGTGTGGATTTGCCGGGTTAGAGGAGGTGAGGTGGACACGCCTTAGCAGTTTGATCTTGTCTTCCCATAAAGTCCAGGCTCCAGCAGGGCCCTCTGACCAGCTCCCCTCCCGCAGGAGGCCACATTTTTGACCCCAGTTCGGGACTTCTCCGGGGTGGGTTTGCCTCCTGACAGCACCCAGCCTGGGGGTACCCCCCTCCCACCTCTGCCCCTTGTAGGGGCCTCTTCCTCGGCTGCAGCCTTGCCAGCTGCCAGAGGGTGGGAGCAGAACAGGCCCGGGCCCATCAGGCGCTGCAGCTGCTGCACGGGCTCCCAAGCCCCTGGGCAGAGACCGGGATGGGCCCCAACAGGCAGGCAGCATGGCAGCGTGCCGAGGGGGAGTGGTGGGCCGGGTGAGGCGGGCCCGTTGGGATCTGCTCCCTAAAGACAGGCCCTGGCCCTCACTCATGGGCCTGGAATTGGGGAGTGGAGGGAGGGAAGAACACACCCAGGAAAGGAGGGTGCTGGAGCCAGGTGTGTTTATGGGGGGAAGAGCAGCTCCTGGCCTGGCCTGGCCTGGCAGAAGATGGCAGGAAGACATTAAGGGGTTCTGCAACACACACACCCCCACTGCCCGGCCCCCACCTCAACCCTGGAATACACCCTGCATTCCCAGCAGCCAACCACCCCCCACCCCACCCCCACCCCCTGCAGGAGTCAGGCTCACACACTCCCTGCTGGGCGGACCTCTTTCTGGTCAGTCCTCTGAAGCCAGGGGTGTCAAGCTGGGAAGTCTGTTGGAACTGAGGCTGCAGAGGCGCTCATACCCTGGCCTGCAGGGGTGGGGGGGTGCCCACTGGAACTGGCATCTGTCTGTTCCCACACAATGCCACGGGGCTTGCAGACCCTGCCTGGCCAGGCCTTTCCCTCCACCAGAAGCTCAGCGACCCGAGGCCAGAGAACAGATCTCTGACTTTCTCTGACTGTCCACAGTATCGCACCCCGTAATTTTTGCCAAGCACAAAATAGATGCTCAGAAAATATTCTGTCGATGAGTTAGTAAACAAGAATGGATCTGCCCGGCCAAGACTTTACTCACTCCAGCCTATTGCTCCTTCCCCTCTCGTCCTTCCCCTAAGGGAACCCATTAAAGGCAGGCTGGGACTGGTGGTCCTGAAAGATCCGGAATCCCTGGTTTTGAGCTGGGGAGTGGGGTGTGATGCTGACAGCCTCATCTCTCCCCCTCAGGCACCTGTATCAAGTGCAACAAAGGCATCTACGGGCAGAGCAACGCTTGCCAGGCCCTGGACAGCCTTTACCACACCCAGTGCTTTGTCTGCTGCTCCTGTGGTGAGTGTGCCCCCCTCACACACACACTCACACACCCTCTTTCTCCCAGACACACATATACCTATACACCTTCACACTCACACAAACACATGTTCTCACACACCCTCTAACACATACTCACATAAACACACTCTGACACACACACACACACCCATATATCTTCAACTCACACACACACACACACAAAAACATATTCTCTCACACATACTAACACAAACATACCCATCTTCACACAAACACACACTCACACACCCTCTCACACATACTCATACAAACACATCCATACGCCTTCACTCGTGCACATGTACACACACACACACACCCTCACATTCTCATCCCCACAGGCCCTCCCCTGTATCTTCACAAGAATGGATCTGCTCATACACACACTCTCCTGCATTCACACTCTCTTTCACACACTCACAACCCTCCTATACACCTTCATATGCACTCTTGTTCACACATTTACACACTCTCTCACACACAAACACTCATCACTCACACCCCCGCCCCCCCCACCATGTACCTCCACACCCTCCTCCTGGCTTCCCGAGCCCGTTCCCACCTTGCCTCCTGCAGTCACCTATGGCCTCTCCTTCCTGCCTCCCTGCCCCACGGAGGGTCTGCTTGCTCCAGTCCCTGCTCCTCCTCCTCCTCCCCAGCCTCTTTCCACCCCTCTCTGCCTCCCTCTTTCTTCTGCCTCCCTGTCTGCCCTGCCTGGACTCCAGCCCGGCCCTCCGGCCTCTCCTTGGTGGGGTTTGGTCTTGGGCAGCAAGTTGCCTGGGGCGACAGTGAAAGACTGGAATGTGGGAAGGGCGGGGGGTGGGCTGGGGGAGTGGGGAGCCATGGGGGGGCGGAGAGGGGGGTTTTCTCTTGGCTGGTCAGAGTTCAGCCACCTCGCTAGAGTGCAGGCCACCAGGCCATGCCAAGCTGATGACATCACGCCGCAGGAATGCCCGCTGCTCTGTTAGCTCAGGAGGCCCGCCTGTGGGGGGGGGGTGCTCCCCGTGCCCTTCACGCCCTAGCCTACCCTGGCCTGCTGTCCCCTGTCCCCACTGCTCACCCACTCTGATTCCTTTGCTAAACCTTTAATCTCCTCTCTCGGCCTGACTCTCCGGACCCCCAGCCCCTGCCTCTGCCTCTGCTCTCTGGGTTTCTCTCTCTGTCCTTCCGGCCTCGTGCTCAGGGCCGCTCCTGAGGGTGTCTCTTGCCCTCTCCATGCCCCCGGGTCCCATGAGTGTCTGAGTCAGCTTTTCTAAACCACTGGGCAGAGGGAGAAGTGGAGATTTTGATGCATGGAGGCCGTGGTAGGAAGCCTGCAGTCCCCCGCCCTGTTCCCTTCCCATAGCGGCCAGGGGTGGGTTCTGGGGGTGGGGGCAGGGCCGGCCTTGTGTCCCCGAGAGCCTCCAGACTTTGGGACGCATATACAGTGAGAAGGAGACTGACTTTGTCCCTAGTGGCTACTCTGAATGTCCAAGCCCTGGCAGGGGCCAGAGCCGGCTGGGAGAGCAGGATTGCCACACTCCAGCAGCTGCTCCTCGCTTGAAAGTCCCCCAGGGTAAGGCCGGTGACAATGTGCTGCTGGTCTCTGTGACCGTGCACAGCACCTTGTTCGGAGCTCCTGGACCATGTCCTCCAGCCTTGGGTTGACTCTGCTTCCCCAGGCGGCTCAGGCCCAGGACCTTCTGAGGAAGACTGGCGGTTAGGGGTGGGCATGGGGAATGGTCAGGGCAGGAACCAAGGAGCAGAGCGAGGGAGGAGAGGAGAAGGAAGTTGGCAGGAAAGAGACCAAAGCAGATTCTGGAATTAGATTGAAATGACATCAGATGGATTTTGCGAGGAAGAACAGAAAGCAGGAGGAGGGCAGGCACGTACCAAGGTCCAGACTTAAATACAGCGTGCCTCATCGGGGCGCAGTGGCCCCGGCGCGGGGGGAGCCTTGGGCCTGGCTCCGGGGTCATTCTTAGCCCTTCTCTGCTGCTCCTAGGGAGAACTTTGCGCTGCAAGGCTTTCTACAGTGTCCACGGCTCTGTGTACTGTGAGGAAGACTATCTGGTGAGTGAGGCCCCTGCGCTGGTCTTCTGCGGGGAAGAGGGGGGGTGTTTGTGTGTGTGTGCGTGCGTTTGGGCACGCTTGCGCGCGCATACTCTCAGCGACCCTTTGGGATTCCACCCAGCAGGGCTCACTCTCAGTTTGTAACAGCGCCCTTGATCATTTTTCTCTCTCCCCAGTTTTCAGGGTTTCAGGAGGCAGCTGAGAAGTGCTGTGTCTGTGGTCACTTGATTTTGGAGAAGGTGAGTGAGCCAAGCAGAGAGTGGGAGGCTCAGGGCCAGGCCCGGGGACTCGGTAGGTATAGAGAGAAGGTGTGGGGAGGAAAGCCAGGGTCAGATGATTCACTTCCACCTAGTTCCTCCCTGGCCACCATTCGTCTCCAGTGACTTCCCTCTAGACTCCCCATCAGGTAGCAGGCTACCCACAGGCCACTGTGGTCTACAGGCATAGCCACGGCTGGCCTAGGAGTGTGAGGCTCTGGGTCTTAATCCCTATCCCTTTCCTGCTTCTGCCTGGGATCAGTTGGAACTGTGTTCTTTACTGTAAGAAGGGGGATTGGATTAGTTTGGTGCTTCTCAGCCCTGACAGCCCAGTCGATCACTTGGGAAGAAGGACCAAAAATACCCATGTCTGGGTCATCGCCAAAGACTGAAGCATACTTCCGGTGGGACAGTGGCAGGGGGGAGTGGTTGAGGGGCTGGCAAGCTCCCCAGATAGCCCTAAGTTGAGGCCCGTCTGAGAAGTACTGGACTGGATGCTTCTGTGATCTTGATCAGGGTTTTTGCCCAGTCACCTCAGATTACTAGCTGGGGTGTGGTGGGGAGAAGAGCTGAAGGGGAGGTTGTTAGGGTCGAGGTGGTGGGGAGGGCACAGTGGGGGCAGCCGGTAATACCCGGAACCACTGGAGAGCCAGGACTGAGAGAAACTGATTCTCCTGGTGCCTTGAGCCAGATCCTCCAGGCCATGGGGAAGTCCTACCACCCGGGCTGCTTCCGGTGTGTCGTCTGCAACAAGTGCCTGGATGGCATTCCCTTCACCGTGGACTTCTCCAACCAGGTGTACTGTGTCACCGACTACCACAAGTGAGTCTGTGGGGCAGGACTGGGCGGTGGAGGGGGGCGGGGGAGGGGTGGCGCCCAACCTCTGCTTCATCTCTGCCCTCTCTCTTGTAGGAATTACGCCCCCAAGTGTGCGGCATGCGGCCAGCCCATCCTCCCCTCTGAGGTCAGTCTGTCTGGGTCTCTGCAGGGCATCCAGTGGCATGCCTCTGGGGAGGGGACTGTCCTCCCCGGGAAGCGGGGCTGCTGAGGAATGTGCTCTGCAGATTCCCGTGTGACTCCGCTCTCGGGGTCACTACCCTGACCCCAGCATCCGGGCCCGGACATGTCTGACGGCCTCCGGGGGCCCTGCTCCCTCTCGTCTGTCCCTTCCAGAGGGGGACACTTTCTTTGGGGTTAAGATCACCAGATCCCAAATGTAGGGCCTGGGAAAAGGTGAGGAAGAATGCCTAGGGCTGGTAGAAAAGGGGTGGAAATGATTCATGCTGGTGGGTAGGAGAAATAGCTCATCAGGCAAAGCAGACGTTTTGCATGCAGGAGGCCCTGGTCCAATCCTGCAGTCCCCTTAACGCTCCTGGCAAGAGCCCGGAGCACCAAGCCAGGCGTAGCCTCTGAGCATTCCCAAGTGTGGCCTCAAAACGCAGAAGAAAAATAATAAAAAAAGAGTTTTGCTGGTGTGGGGGCTGGAGCGATAGTACAGCAGGTAGGGCGCTTGCCTTGCATAAGCCAACCCGGGTTCGATCCCCAGCATCCCATATGGTCCCCTGAGCACTGCCAGGAGTAACCCCTGAGCATCGCCAGGTGTGACCCAAAAAGCGAAAAAAAAAAAAAAGAATTTTGCTGGCGTATCAGGGAGATGTCGGAGAGAGAAGCATGTGCGACCAAGTGTCCCCCAGTGCCCCCCAGTGTCCCCTCTGTGCCTCCTTGCCCACAGCTGAGCCTGCTCCACTGCTAGGCCCCTTCGCTTCCCTGCCAGCAGAGCCCCTGAGGACAGCCAGGAAAGGGAAGGCTCCAGTGGGATTTGCAAAGGTCATCTCAGAGCCAAGGGGAGGTTCTGGAATTTTCCATGGGAGCTGCTCTGGGGGGAGCGTGGACCTGGGGGTGTCCCGCGGCTCTCATCTCCATGGGGGCCCTCACATTACATTTCAGGGCTCTGAGGACATTGTGAGGGTGATTTCTATGGACCGAGATTACCACTTCGAGTGCTACCACTGTGAGGTGAGTGTCGGGCCAGGCCTCCAGGGCTATGTCTTCAGGAGGGGGTGGTCAGGGGCCACGGAAAGGCAGGAAGCGCTCAAACCTGTCTCCAGTCTGTCGGTTGGGCTCTTTCGTCCCGTCTTGAGTCTGCCTTCCCGGGGAGTCTAGACTCCAGCTAGGAGTTGTTGGTGACCTAGGGTGGTGGGGAGCTGCCTTGTTATTTCTGCTGTCGCAGCGACACCTGGCGTCCAGGAGAGGCATTTTCTCTGGTTTCTCTTCTGGGAGTCAGTTCCCTGCCTCCTCCACCCCCCTCCCCCTTCTGCCCTTTCTTTCTTCCAGTCACCTCTTAGGGGTTGGCATTTACTAGGCAGAATCCCAAGAACCCCCATCCCTCCGCCCCCCGCCCCCATATCCAGGGCACCCGTGCTGAGCTGAACTGGGTGTCCTCCTTCCCTAGGACTGCCGGATGCAGCTGAGCGACGAGGAGGGCTGCTGCTGCTTCCCTCTGGATGGGCACTTGCTCTGCCATGGCTGCCATATGCAGCGGCTCAACGCCCGACAGCCCCCAACCAACTATATCTGAACTGCAGTCCTCGTAGCTGCTGTCGCCACCCTTGATGAACCCCTCTGGCCGGCGGGGGGGGGGCCCTTCCCAGGAGCCAGGCGAGGAAAGCGCTGCGGGCCTGGCATATGAGTCCTCTGGGGAGCCCCCAGAGGCCAGAGACCCAAAGATCACGACATTCCAAATGGATTGTGGAGGAGGAGCGTGCAGTGGCCGGGGCGAGGTGTCCGGCCTTCTCCCCGTGTCATGCAGGGCAGGCACACACAGGCGGGGCCCAGCGCCTCCGGGGGTGCTGATTCTAGACTGTCCAGTATCCGTGTGCGCACGAGTCAAGCAGTATTCGCGGTCTGGATTACAGCAGAGAGGAAAGTGTGGGCGCTCCTCACTCTTGGGCCCCACATCCGGCATCGGGCACGGATGGTCAGCAAGGTTCTTACACCAGTAACTTATCTCTGTATCTGGACGAAGTGGTGGAAACTCTGAACCTTATTAAATGTGTCATTTCTTTTTTTTTTTTCCCTGATTTTTGGGCCACTCCCACTGGTGCTCAGGGGTCACACCCGGAGGTGCTTGGAGGAGATTTCCCACTGTGTTTGGGAGACCAGGCAGTTCCCCCCTCCCCTGCGCTGGGTCGAACCAGGGTCTCCAACGTGCAAAGCTTGTGATTCCAGCCCCATTGAGCCAGCCCTCTGGCCCCTAAACGAGTTATTTCTTGGTTGCCTCTGTCTGTGGATTGGGAGGGCTGTTGTGTGCCCTTCAGCTCTGGGGGTGGGGGTGGGGGTCTCTGCCTACATGATCTGTTTCTCAGGGACTCAAGTGGGCCTCGAAGGGAAGTGGGTGCCTGTACTTGGTTCCTCTTCTCCGCTGGGCCAGTGAGGAGTGGGTCTCCGGTGGGTTGTCTCGGACCTCTGCGCCTGCCGAGAGGGGAGAGCCGCCTGGGCACGTTCACGCACACACTCGCACTCACACTCTGTCTCAGGTGGCGGCACCCCGACACCTGGCTCTCCCGAAGCAGCGCTAGGCCTGGCACCACAGAGGCATCAAGGACCGAATCCCACACAGATCCCCAGGGCCAGGGACCGACAGGGACTGACAGGGGACAACAGTGAGCTGGTTTGGGGTGGTTTGGCTGCAGTTAGTTCACCCAACACTAGATCCCTTACATCAATTCACTGTGGAAAATTCATTTGCTTATAAGTGTAGTTCCCTTAATGACCCGTTGCCAAATGCTTCATTCCTTTTTTGGGTGTTCTTCTATCCATTTAGATGACCGTTTTTTTGTTTTGTTTTTGTCATGCTTTGGGTATTTCAAGGATTTATATCTATCCATCCAAGAATATTTCTGAATTATCAGCAACATAAATTTATCAAATTTGCAGCACTTTGTAAATGATGAGATTGCTTCTCCTGCCTTTGTGGATATCTTTTTCTATGTTATTTACTTTTCAAACACTTTTTTAAAAAAGTTAAAAGTTCCTAGCAATAAATATAATTGGTAAAGACATTCTGTGTATCTTTTTTTTTCATTTCTTACTCCAATATTCTTTTACAACGTAAATGTCTTGGAAAATATAATGGAGCTCAATGTGACTTCTATGCTTTCATCTAACTTCTACATTCCTACTATTAAAATGCCAGAATATTCTAAACAAGACATGTGGCATAGTCAGTCGATGACTAACAAAGGTTATTCAGACAATAGCAACAAAAATGTAAGGGTGAATCTGCTAAATCTTTTAAATGCTGCAGATTTGATAAATATTTAGATTGTGTCTAGGTGAATTGGTTTTTTGCCAAGTTAATTTGATTATCTTTGATCCTCAGCCTTCATTCTCTGTCACTGTGTCACAGAGTTTCATACTGGAACTGATAGCTCCTGAGAATGAATTCTACATTTGGGGGTGACTCTCTGCCAGCCCACTGGGAATCACACAGACGTGGCCTCAGAGAATATGTGTAAAAGTGAGCATTCAGATTCATAATGCTGAAGGCCAAAGGGACTCAAGAAAGGCCAAAAGAAAAAGATGCACTTTTTTTTTTAAGGATAAATATCCTGAAATCTGGTTTCCTGAAACCAGATATATTGCCTGTTCAATAGCTGGGGTTTCTTCTAATTCTTTTTTGGTTTGGGGGGGCACTAATTCTTTTTGGTTTGGGGGCTTGTTCAGGGCTGACTCTTTCTTTTTCTGTTTGGGTCACACCCAGCAATGCACAGGGGTTGCTCCTGGCTCATGCACTCAGGAATTATTCCCAGCGGTGCTCAAGGGAATCATATGGGATGCTGGGAATCAAAACCGGGTCTGCTGCAAGCAAGGCAAACGCCCTACCCGCTGTGCTATGGCTCTAGCCCCAGGGCTGAGTCTTGAGCTCAGGGATCACTCCTGGAGGGAACCACAAAGGGTGCCAGGGATTGAACATACTTAGCTGTGTGAAGGCAAGTGCCCTGCTATCTGCGTTCTCTGGCACACAAGGGATTACTTCTTTTTTCTTTAATTATTATTATTTTTATTATTTCTTTTAGGGCTGGAGCGATAGTACAGCGGGTAGGGCGTTCGCCTTACAAGCGGCCAACATGGCCGACCCAAGTTCGATTCCTCCGCCCCTCTCGGAGAGCCCGGCAAGCTACCGAGAGTATTCGATATGCCAGACACAGTAACAACAAAGTCTCCAATGGAGACGTTACTGGGCCCGCTCGAGCAAATCGACGATCAACGGGAGGGCCTTTACCTTACCTTTACCTTACCATTATTTCTTTTAGTCACTGAAATTATATGGGTTTCAGGCATACAATGTTTCAGCACCAATGGGGTAGGGTAGCATTGAAAATCGGTTCTTGTTTTTGTTTGCTTGGAGGCCACACCCAGTGATGCTCAGGTTACCCCTGGCTCTGCATGCAGGAATGGATCGATAGTCTCTGTTCAGGGGACGATATGGAATGCCGGGGTTCCAACCCAGGTTTGCCGGGTGCAAAGAAAGTGTGCTAGCTGCTATACTATCTCTTCAGCTCCAACAATTCACTTTTTTGTTTTGGGGCCATACCTGGCAATGCTCAGGACCATGTGTGTGTGGAGGGGGGTGTCAATCTAGGCCTCCCATATGCAAAGGATGCACCCCAACCCTCTGAGCCATCACCCAACTCCTAAATAGCTACTGTTCAGGGGCTGGAGTGATAGCACAGCGGGTAGGGCGTTTGCCTTGCACGTGGCCAACCCAGGTTCGATTCCCAGCATCCCTGAGCACCACCAGGAGTAATTCCTGAGTGCAGATGATGCACCTGTGCATCGCCAGGTGTGACCCAAGAAGCAAAAATAAATAAATAAATAAATAAATAGCTACTGTTCAGCAAGTAAATACAATGACATTAGCAGGCTGTCCTGACTTGAGAAATCCTGGTCAGCATTAATAAATCTTACTCATTCATCCCTTCAGTTCCGGCTCTTGGGAGTCCTTTCCATTTGGTCACTCTGCCCTTCATCTTTCTCTGATTGGGGTCTCCATCTGGTATTGGCTGACTGGTTCCCTTCTAGGTATGTGCTCAGCTATCCCAGCCCTGGGATTCTCCCAAGACTCTTTACTTGCCACTGAGACTTCTCTTTCCCTTCCCGAGGAAAATCAAGCCCTAATGTATAGGTAAAGGTAAGGTAAAGGCCCTCCTGTTGATATCGATTTGCTCGAGCGGGCCCAGTAACGTCTCCATTGGAGATTTTGTTGTTACTGTGTTTGGCATATTGAATACATAACGGGTAGCTTGCCAGGCTCTGCCGTGCGGGCGAGATACTCTCGGTAGCTTGCCGGGCTCTCCGAGAGGGGCGGAGGAATCGAACTCGGGTCGGCCATATTGGTTGCGTGCAAGGCAAACACCCTACCGCTCTGCTATCGCTCCAGCACAGCGGTAGGGCCCTAATGTATAGGTTCGGGAAAAAACAGACAGACCAGGGCATAAGAGCAGCCCTCCTACCCCACTGTAATCTGAGAGACCCCACTATACCCTGCAGGGCTAGCATTTCCCTGCTTCCCATTTGTGGAAAAAGTTCTCTACCTAAGTTGCTCTATTTAGTATTTACGGTTGATAATGGGAGATCCATGAGGTGCTTGCAAGGATATAGCCACAAGTAGGTCTCATTTAGCCAGCCTGCCCCCAGATTTTCATCTTAGCCACTAGTCCTGAGATGGAGAAAAATGACAATGGAAGGATGATGGCTAGACTGACTCTGTGTCTTTAGATGAGAGTCACAGGGCAAGGACAGGCTTTAACAGCACACACCACTGTTAGCTGGGCCAGCCCAGTGTGCTACAGGTCCAAAAATGAGTTACGAAGCGAGTGACTAGTGGTGGCTCTCTGCCTGACTCCTTAAAGACCTGCCTTTCTTTCTTTATCACCTGAAGCTCTCAAGGTCAGAGAGAGACTGTTCCATGCACTACCAGCCTGTTTTCAGAGAAGGCAACTCCACCTTTTAACGATACCAAGGCATGTAAATCCATGGAGGAGACTGCATCTCTACTATCTTTATTTTTGATTCTTTTGGTTTTGGAGCCACACCCAGCAATGCTCAGGGGTTACTCCTGGCTCTGCACTAAGGAATGCAGGTCCTGGCAGTATACTGGAGGTCACATGGGATGCCAGGGATTGAACCCAGGTCAGTCACATTCAGCCCTACCCACGGAACTATTATTCCAGTCCCTCTATACAATCTTTTATTTTTGTCTTCTTTTTTTTTTCTTTTTGGGTCACACCCAGCGATGCACAGGGGTTGCTCCTGGTTCATGCACTCAGGAATTACTCCTGGCAGTGCTCGGGGGACCATATGGGATGTTGGGAATCGAACCCAGGTCGGCCACGTGCAAGGCAAATGCCCTACCTGCTGATGCTATTGCTCCAGCCCCTATTTTTGTCTTTTGAGCCATACCCAGTGGTGCGCAGGGCTGGTACTGTGCTCAGAGGACCCTGTGTGGCACCAGGGATTGAATTCAAGTCAGCTATATGCAAGGCAAGTGTATATAGTACTATGTACATATCGCCCATATGTACTTCCCTCTAGCCCCTAAAATCGAGACTGGACCATGCCTAAAAGAAGGGGGGAGGGGAGCAAAACAAGGGAATAAAGGGCCAGGAAGATAGGTCAAGTGGTAAAGCCTAGGCAAGGCTCATCATCCAACCCCTACTACTATATCACCAGAGCACCAGCACTAAGGGGTATAACCCTATTTAAAAAAAATGGAAGAGGGAAAGAAAATGAAAAGGAGAGAAAGGATTGAAAAAGAAAAACAGGTGATGTTGGGGATGTGGGACAGCGGTTAGAACACCTTGCATATATGAGGCCCTGGGGTTTGATCTCTGGTACTACCAAAAACCAAACATGAGCTAAAGCATTTTTACTCTGTGTGTGTGTGTGTGTGTGTGTGTGTGTGTGTGTGTGTATGTGTTTGTATCAGGACTGAAATCAGGGGCCTCACACACACATGCTAGGCAGATACCTCCAGGGTTTTGTCCTAGTTTTGACTTTCAGAAGTATCCCCTACCTTGAAGTTACCTGGCATCATGCAAAGCCCTAACGGCGAGGCTCGCCACAAGGACACAGGCCTGGGAAAGCCCAGCCCTTGCCGTCCTCTCCTGTG